TATATAGTGTTTAAGGACATTCAAAAGCTAATACAGTATTAATACAGTAAGAATTCCTTTTTGTGATATGACTGTGGTACCATGTCTCACAGTACTTGTGTTTCAAGTCTATTTATGTGCAGAGAAACACCTGTGGTCCTCAGGGAAAGAAAAGCTACATTAAATTTACGTAATATTCTTTATCCTAAAGAAGCCAACTGCACTGAAGGTCGTGATTCCCAAACATGTAAGTCTACATTTCTAACCAAGAGTGGATTTGATAAATTCCCCACTCAGCCCAGCTTCTGCAAAGTCTTCCCAGAAATTCCCTGGACAGCAGATATCTATGTGTGCTGCCCCATGCTTTGTCTGTTCTAGGAACCTTTTCTTTCAAAGCTCAAAAACCAGGAAAAACCCTGAAAAGCCATAACGAAAAAGGCAGGATTACTGGTTTTGTACTTTTTCCAATCAAGGCTCCAGTAATTTATATCCTTTGTATAAATTATGTGTGCCTTGATTTGTCATTTAAAGTAGAACTAGATTTTTGTTTGTATCTGTCACAAATCTCTAAACTTATTAATACTTTTTACATTCTTCCTTGCAGTAACCAAAGATCTAGAAGCATCAAGCAGTTTATCTTCAGAATATGCAGCTCTAATAATCAAAATCTGCACCAAAGAAAAATTACCGATGAACAAAAGAATTTCTATCTGCAGTCCAGTACTCAGTGCAACACAATCTAGTTTTCTGATTTGCATGTTTTATTTTCTCTGAATCATACAGGTAGCAAGATATAAAACAAAGTGTAGTATGTGCCATTTCCATTCACATTTTCATTTTTTTTCCCACCTAACTGGGCAGGTAATTTCTGCCAGGGTGCTTTTTATGGTGTGAGGGATGCTGTACACCTGACCATGTGAGGCAGCAGTATTTACTGAGAGAGTGGGCAATGACACCTGCAAATACGTCTCACCTTACCCCCACTTTACAAGGCATTCTGTAACAATTCATAGACTGGGAAGAGAAGTTATTTAATTTTGCCACAGCAAAGGAAACCAGTTTTACACATATATTGCTGTATTAAATATTGCATGATGGCAAATATGCATTGACATTTAACTGTGAGCCAAGAGAAACCATTAAAATAAAATATTTGAATTAGCAAATGTTTAAATAAGTTATGTGCATAACTTTTCTACTATGACTAGTTTCCCAAATTCTTTGTAAACCACTGGGGCAGCTAAGTGTTTGCCCTAACCTCTGCATGATCAGGCCTCCAACACACTTCTGGTAATCCATCCTGAAGATATTTGCTGAACTACTCACTGCTCGAGTGAAGCTCTCAGTTTGTAAATTTCACAATGATGGTACATATTGAGGGCAAACATACCTCAGCCCCCACACTAAAAAACTCCCCAAAACCAAGCCAGAAACCTGTGCCACACCCTCCTGCACAGCACACAGCCTGGCACAACCAGGACATCGCCAAGCAGCAGGTTTTGTTCTTTACCATTCAAAGTCAGAGATGAGGTCTGTTCAGTGGGCTCCATGCTGTGTTTGCTGTTATATAAATAACCAAGAATTTATGGCCCAGAATTTGGCTGCACTGTAATTCATGGGCAGGCACTGGCTGTCCAAGGGCTCACAGCCTGCTGGAACAAGCTGGCAAGACTTGCTTGCCTAAGCCAGGAATTTCAGCAAACATCTCTTTGTTAGAGAAGATGAATTTTGTATTGGTCTATTTATCTAAATCCAATGGAAAGAACGAAAGGGGGAAAGGTGGTGGAGACATCTTAAAATGAGAGGATATAGAATATATTTTTATGACTTTCACTGATATTCAGATATATTAGACTGACTTCAAGCTCAACAACTATGGACCCAGAACAGATCAGATCCACAGAAATATTCAAAATACTCTGGAAAGATTCTGCATTGTGTTTGCAAGTTAGAATTTAGTACATCTCATCTCTTGCTATATCCTATCCTCATCCCTGACCTAGATGCTTTTCTTGAGGATTTCGCTGTGCTGCAGCTCTGGCTTTGGTGTTCCCTGGTCCATGTGAATACAACAACACAATGAATCTACTCTGCCCTTCATAAGTATGGGTGAGTCATCCCTTCAGAAAGAAAGAGACAATAGCCATTGACTTATTCCATTGTTCTCTTTGTAGCTGTCACCCTACAGTGTAGCAAGATTGGTGTAGTTTTGAACCAAGAACTTGAGCTAAGAATAATAATAACGTGGGCTTTTACTGAAGTGATCAGAAATAAATGTCAGTACAACCCTTTTCAAATAAGATTTGGTGGAGCACTTCAGGGAAGCATGCTTAAAAAACAAACATATGAGAGTAGATGTAATTTATTAATAATCATCATTTACATTAACTAAGAGCACTTTAAGCACTACACCATTTGCCCTAAACTTAAGATTTTATATAGGACTGGAGAAGACTTATACGTAGTCAAGGAATGGTGAGGACAACTTCAGGCCTTAATGCCAATGTGACAGTGCAAATACCTCTTTGGGGACATTGATATATTTTCTATTCATTCACCACTATTTAATAGAGGGGGAAATTATGGAGCTGTGTGGGGTTTTGCTGCAATTTTGTAGGTTGTGGTTGCATGATAACAGAAGGTAATCAGAAACCATTAGCTACTCGACTGGCTTAAGTCACAAATATGAAACCCTTGTGTGTCATTAAACTTTCATCATGTTCAGTCCTTAATCCATGATATCTCCCAGCCCTCTTCCCCTTCAGGACCCTTCCACTGAAAAATTTCCTCCTGCTGTGGGGCAATCACTTCATCACTGCGGCACATGAAAAGTAAAAGGCACTGCAGTCTGATCTAAGCTTTTTTCCCTTGGGAAGTTTTGAATATGTTTCCAGCTCCCCCTTCTTATGTGGTGCAGACCCTTCCCCAGTTCCCTGCCCTTCTCTGGACACACTCGAGCACCTCAGTGATAGTTTGCAGTGAGGGACCTGAAACTGAACCTGGGGTTTGAGGTGCCACAGCAGTGCTGGCTCCCTGTACATGCCACATGGTGGCACTCAGGATTAGGTGTTACGGGCACAGGGTGTTGTGCTGTGCTGATCTCACAGTAGATCTGGCTGTATTTTTCACTAGCAGAATCAAGATATGCATCTTGAGAAGAGGGATTTTATGGTTCATGTGCTGTGATTAAATAAGAGAGCCTAATATTGCATGGTAGTGTCCTGGGTTGACTATATGATGCTTTTATCCCCAATTGTCTCGTTTTGTTTATGCTGAATAATAAGTTTTGTATCTTTGAGAGTTGTTGCAGAGAGTGAAGGGGGAGAGAAGAAGCGCACAGCCTTTTTTTCAGACACTGCTCTCACTCCTCCACATTTCTGCTCCTGACTGTGTTGTCTGTGGATGGACAGACAGTGGGACAGAGCACTTTTTTGTTTTTAGTTAGTTTAGATAGCTGAGGCAAAGAAGTTCCTTGGACTGTGGGGTTTTTTCCCTTTTCTTTGGAGCTGTTCAAACCTGCTCTGGCCTGAACACCCAGGGGAGCACCGGCAGCTCCACCTGAGGCCCACCGGGCCGGGCCGGGCCTGTGACATTTCCAGCACTGAGGGACTGATCAGAGACTGAGTGAGCTGAGCTGCAACCCGGGGAGGGACTTTCTCAGTTTGTCTCTCTTTTGGAGCAGCAAGGGGTTTTATTGGTTAATATTCTTTAGGTTTTATAGTTTAATAAACAGGTTTTTTCCACTTTTCTCCAAGGAGGTATATTCTCCTGGAGCGGTTAGGGGGAGGGGCCGATTGCATTTGCTTTCCTACTGGAGCTCCTTTGGGGATTCTATCCCAAATTTGCTCTAAACCAGGACAGGTGGCAACATATCTGTGGGTTGTTAAACTTTCCCTGGTCTTTTGGCTTCTTCAATGTTGAGTTAGGTCAAGCCCACCTCTTTTCATGAAGTGAGCCTCCACCAAGGAAAGCCAGACAAGCTTGGATTTTAATCTTGAATCATCAATTATATTACTCAGTAATATAAAATTTCTCAAACCACCGAACTACTCAGACATTGTGACCAGGTGTTTAGCAAGGTTCACATAATCTGGTATGGAATCACTTTCTTCATTTTCTGCTTCAAGAGAAGCCCATCCAGAGTGAGAGCAGTGACTGAGGGGAGCCCTCATCATGGTCTGAAGCTTCTTTGTGAGGGGAAGTGAAGGACAGCACCAACTCTGGTGGCCAGTGACAGGGCTCAGGGGCATGGCCTGAGGTTGTGTCAGGGAAGTTTAGTTGGATTTCAGGGAAAAGTTCTTCCCCAGAGGTGCTGGCACTGCCCAGGCTCCCCAGGGAATGGGCACAGCCCCGAGGCTGCCAGAGCTCCAGGATCCTTTGGACAACAGTTCCAGGGATGCCCAGGGTGGGATTGTTGGGGTGTCTGTGCAGGGACAGGAGCTGCACTCATTGATCCTTGTGGATCCCTTCCAACTCAGGATATTCTATGATTCTATGAACTGCCAGGGGCTGCAGCAAAAATTAAATTATGCTCAGGAAACATCAGATGGAACAGCAGTCGAATTCAGGTTTTCATGAATGACAAATGAATTCAGGTCTGGGAGAGATTAAAAGACTTGGTCATGCTTTATCCCTCATTGTGTTATGTCCCAAACCTTAAAAAATGCTGGAAAATACTGTTCTAGATTAACAGATTTCTTGCACTCTAATACATCCAGACTCAGGTGTATATTAATAGAGCTTGTTTATAGAGCCTAAACTGCAATTTCGACATTCCAGTTTTTTCATTACAAAAGCAAACAACAAACCAAAAGCTTAAAAATCACAAATTTCACTCCCCGCAGAACTGCTGAGGTAGCATTTCTGTTATATGGGGACGACTGATGTGAAGTGGGATTAACAAGCATGAGTCAGAGAGCACATTCCTAACATTTATTCTAGAGCTTCTGGCAACCTTGCAGCATGGTTTCTTACAGAATTCAATTGGCATTTAAAGATGCTATCTGTCAAAGGAGACAGTTTTACTCAGACCCAAGTTCATCCATTATCTCAGGTTTCCAAAGCTGTATTGGGCCAGCAACAACAATCACACTTTCTTTCTCAGAGCTGGCCTCTCTCTTGGACCTTCGAAGACAACCTTGGTAGCACCTGGAGGAATAATCATTGGCCCTGCAGACCACCAGCTCACACTGCAAGTAAACCTCTGGGTTGCTCTGAATGAACTGGAAGGCATTGAATTTAAACCTGAGGGTGTGTCTGAAGGGTGAGTAATAGGTAGCGTAGGTGGGATCTTTGGCACACCTAAAAAGAAACAAAAAAAAAAAGAAACCCTCTCATGAATACACACTGCAGTCAGTCATTTACATGCAATAAAATACACATGAGAAGTGATTTTTAAGCATAGTGAAAACAGTTCAGAAAGCTGCAAGCTGGAAAACCAAAATGCCTTTTTTTTGCATAATTCAAGCACATTGCCTTTCCTCAGCCTGTCGTGTGTCTGATACCTGGTGTTTGTATGATTCTGTGAAGGTAAATTAACCTTACCTGAGGCATTTCACTATTACCTTCTAAAAATTAATATTTATAATAATTAATAATTAGTATATAATAAAATTTAATAATGTAATTTAATAATTAGTAATAAAGTAAAAAATAAAAATAAACTATTATAATTACAAAGAAATAATAATTATAATATCCATCATGAACTGGCCATAGCCATTTATTCTACTTTTTATTTTAAGCTGTGGCGTGTTTGTCATATTTTGGGTCAGTACATCTCCCTTTTCCCAGTAAACCCTGAATGCTCTTGTCCATTAATTAATTAAAAGCTGCCATTATAGTATGCTATATTCACACTATTCCATTAAATTAAAAAATAAAAATTAATAAAAAAAAATAAAAATTAATGCAGAAATTTGAAGGCAGTTTTATCTGTAATTGTAATTCATAAGAACTCACCCATTCTCGATTATAGGATAGGACTTTGTTGTAAGATTGTGGCGAGTGGGAGATGCCACACAAGTGTCCAGAAATAACTCCAGGGATGGATCAGAGATGTGCAGGGAAGCTTCCAGGAACAAATTCTGGTTGATGCCAACACGGTAGGGTGAGTCATACACTGGCCTTGAGAAGCTTGAGGAGTCATAAAATATGAGGCTGACATCGTATCTCTCATACTGAGTTTCGTTCACTTCAAAGTTGTCCTCCGCGATGTACATCGTTTTTGCCCACGTGTTCTGGAGCATCTTGCAGTTGACATGCAAGAGAAGATTTCTATTTCTTGTGATTAATGTACCAGAAGAGGACCCTCTAATAGTGTTGGAATAGCTGATTGTGTCATTGTTCCCCTGTTTGGCACATAAAATATAAAATTAACTCATGTATTCAGGTACCCTACTATACATTCTGAACTTTGCTGTATCCTTACAGCAATGTGCACTGTAAAAACATTATTTCCCAGAAAGTCTGATGTGGAAAAGTCTGAATCTAGTAGTTTCTGTTCTCAAGATAAGAATCTGTAATCTTCATGTGATATTCAGTGCCCACAATTTTGACCTAGAAAACTACTCACAATAAATGCAGACATAACAGAATTAAATACTACCTGTACAACATTAAGTACGTGAAGGTTCAGGTCTGGCATAATATTTACCTGAAATCTGGCTATGACATTATTAGTCACGTTTAGTGAAAGCTTTGAAACTTTTCTAGCTATCACACTCAGCCTGGGACCTTGAAAATGCCAAGTATTTGTATCCTTCCACAGCTTATTCCCTTGGAGATGGATAACGGGCTGTAAGGGAATGCTCTGTTAGCAGAGGCAGGAAATGCAAGGGCAAATATCCTTCAGGAGAGAGGGAGACAACCCACAATCACCAGGACACTTCCACTCCCTGCAGGTCTCAGGTAGCTTTCAATTTGTGCTGGTTTCCAAAGCAAATTCTCCTGTTTGAATTTTTATATCCTCCCATTTTTGCCCACTTTGTTGAAATGTTCAGTCCTACCTCTCTGACAGTGCCACAGCGAGTGTACGGAATGTCGAATGACACGGAATTTGATGTGATGTTGGGTGTGCAAAGGGGGTCGTTCAGGGTCAGGTTCCAAGCAGAGTAGCCGTGGGACTGAAGGAAGTATCTGCTCACAACCACGTGCATGTAGTCTGGCAAACACAGCAGGGCTAGTGGATGGCAAAGAAAATATGTCACAAGCTCAGTAAAGTGACCAAAAAAGGTTGTAAGCAGTGGATTAAATAAACACCACCTTTTGCAGAAGCAGCCGATTTGGCAGAAGGAGCTCAGAATCCAAACCATGGACTTGAACCTCCACAAAACCACTACAGATCTAACTTAAATTTTAAAAATCTAATTAAAAACACTAACAAGATTAACAACCAGCGAACTAGATAATGATTGAAAAGCATGTTTCTGCTTTAAAGATGAACTTACTGGTGCTGTCATCAGCAGGAGTGGAGTGATAGTTGGCCTGGAAGCCTCTGTACGTGTATTGGGAGTTGCTGTGGAAGCGGACGCTCAGCAGGTTGGAGGACGATGTGTAAGTGGGGTAATAACCAGAACAAATCTTCCCAAGGAGAGGAGAGCTGTGCAGGGGCCCATCATAGATTTCCACATAGTCAGAGAGGCATCTGCCACCTTCCATCCTGGCAAGCAAAGTAGCTATTTAGTTTTATGCTTCGTTTTTATGTTCTTTGGTTTTGTTTGCCTGTTGGTTTGGGTTTTAGACAGATTAGCTCTTTATAGCAGAAGAATACATTTGATTGATATGACTGTCAAACCTTTGGAACGGAAAATACAGCCTCCACTTTCTGTCTCAGTAAATGCCAGCCACGTTTTTGACTAAATAAGCAAAAATTAATACATTTTCCCTCTCCAGATATACTAAAAGCTTTGATAAAGATCCTGGAAATCAAGTAGGTTTTTGCTTAGTAAGTCCAAGTTGTCAGTCCCATATGTTCACCTTCCCAAATAATAAATTTCTACTTACTGAATATCTGTAAATGTAAGCGTGACACGGAAGTTGCTTTCTACTTGTATTTCCCACACGCAGTCAGCATTGTTTGGATAATTTCTGGGGTAAAATGGGCTCTGTAAGGTACCAGATGAAGAGGAGAGGAAGCTACCACAAGAATAATCTTCTGCAGAGAAAAATACAAGAAGAAAAATATATGTATGCACCTTGAGGGTTGTGTTTGGAATACATCTATGTGAAGTTTATGTCCAAATGTAGAGACAGTGACTTCTATCAGCTGCAGTGACCTCTCCATTAGATTTATATACATCTGAAAGCAGGTTAGGAGATACTAACCACACTGAATAGTTTTTATAATGCTATCTGCAGTGCCTGCACTAGCAGGACACAAATATTTCCCACAGCACTGGATAGTTTTGAGGCTGGAATTGTGGAAATCAGCTCTTCCTTGAAGGAGGATCCCCTATTACAATTGCTAATGACCAAAAGGAGGAGGAAAAAAAAATTTTGTTTCAAAAGAAAAAAGTGATAAATATCCAATTCATAAACTTACCCAAGTCCTCCAAACCTACCTGAGGTTGGTGATGCAGTAGAAGTATTGGGAGCTGTAGGGAGAGAGCAGCAGGTGATAAGAAATACAAAATACACTCAGCATTTTGCCTAAGAGAAACAGCCCTCTGGGGGTCAGACCTCCCCAGAAGAGCTCCAGAAGGGACACTGCAACACCAGACCCACAATCACTGCCTGGACACACGGTGGGTCCCTGTGTGGCTCCAAGCCCTCCCTCTCCACCCACCAGCCCAGGGTCTTGATCTCCTCTGTTAAAGGTCAGTAGGGTGGGATGGAGTGGACCCTCAGCATGTCTGGGACCCTCAGCATCTCTGGGACCCTCAGCATGTTTGTGGTGACACCAAACTGGAAGGAGGGGATGGTCAAGCAGATGGTGCTGCTGCCATTCAGAGGGAGCCTGGCACTGCAGACAGAGCAGCAGCCAGCCTCAGCTGCCAAAAGGAGTTCTCTGCACTGTGGCTGAACACATCAGCTGCCTTTATTTTGGAAAAACAAGAAGTAGCCTTTGGCCTCTACAGCAATGAATGTGCCAAAGCTGATCAATTCCTCTGCCTACAGCATAGAGCAGGAAAATTGATGATAGCTCAGTGGCAGCACTGGGGGAGTTGGAGAGAGTCCCATTCCTGCCCACCAGGCAAAGAAACAGTGTCGGGCAGCAGCTTCATGGCCATCCTCTCCTGAAAACCACTCTTGAGCCAGGATGCCTCTAAGTGTCCCCTCTAAGAGGGTCTCAATGCCCACAGGGTGCTGAGAGCCACCAGAAGCTCTTTGTGATTGAGCTTGAGCCCCTGCCCTGGCGAGGAGTAGAGGACAGCTCCAGTCTTACCCATGGTGGTAGTGAAGGCAAGAAATGAGGAGTAGTTGGCATGGAAGCCCCTCCTGGTGACGCTGCCGTCGCTGCGGAACAGGACGGTGAGCTGGTTCCCAGAGGAATTGAAGACACGGTGGTCGTTCCTGCAAACACGGCCCAGGAGTCTGCTCTGGGGGGAGCCTCCATCAAACACCTCGATGGCATCGTAGGAGCAGCTGCTGCCCTCCAGCCTGCAGGGAAAAAATGTGGCCTCAGCTCTCCTCACAGAGAGCAGCATGTAGGAAAGGCATCTTGTGCTGTTCTTGTGAGCCAGAGAAGGCCTCCTGAAGATCAGGAAAGCCCCGTGTCTTTCTTGAGGAAGACACCAAGGTTGTCACCTGTTGGAACCCAGGAAAATCCTCTGGCTGCCCTGGAGGACTCAATCCCCTGCCCAGGGGGCACAAGCCCAAGACCCCTGTGCCTTTGATTTAGCCCTTAGAAAAAACTATTACCAACTTTATATGAAGAATTACAAGCCACAAAAGTTTAAGTAGAATGATAGTGAATTCATCACAGGGTGAAAAATAGATTTTATGGGGTTTTTAGAATTGGGATTCAGGGGGCAAGATGGAGGAATCTGGGCATGTCCAGCCTTTCTCCTTCTCCTTCTTGGCCTCCATCTTCTGCTCTGATGTTGATACTTTTGGATTGGTTTAGAGTAGAAGCTAACTGTCTAACATAGGTGATAGGTATTGGAAAGTAATTGTAAATAGTGTACATGTAGTTATTAGTATAAAAAGATAACACCACCTGGGGGCAGGCAGAGTACCTCTCTGTCTGTCTTGCTGAGAGGACCTCATCTGGACAGGAGAAAAAATGTTATAGATAAGGAACAATAAACAACTTTGAGACCAAGAAATTAGGAGTTCTGACTCCTTCTTCCACTGCCAAGCTGGGAAAAGAGACTTTCTAACACGTCTTGGGGTCACTCTGACCAGCTAGAGACCCCGAGAGTCACCATGACAAGGTGATGAAAGGGAGAAAGTTAAAAGATACAGACTCTAGCTGGCACACAGAATGATGTGGCTCCTTGTTCACATATTGAGAACTTTGTTTCTTTCTTATGACCAACGGGCAGCGAATGTGTCTGTTAAGTAAATGTAAATATCTTGAAAAACTACAAAAGCAACATGTTGCTGTAATAAATCTCTCTTATACACGCTTCTGATGGAGTCTTGGTGCTTTGCGTCGTGTCATGCTCTATAGCAACAGCAGCAGGCACAAAATCCCCAAGGAGTTTTCCTAAGGAAAGGCAGTGAGAAACTCAGAGGAGAAGAGGAAACAATTCTTGTCTCTATTTGCTGCTCCTGTTTTTGTACATGTGGAATGTGTTATGGAGATTGTTTACGCAAAGTGATTTGGTTAATTGGACATGGGTGAAAGTTGTTTTGGGTGATTAGCCAGTCACTCAAAGCTGTGTCCTGGCTGTCTCAGACAGTCACGGGTTTTTCTTTAGTATTCTTTCATATAGTATCTCTTTAGTACAGTATTTTTAGTATCTCTTTAGTTATAAAATAGTATTAATGTAATATAATATAGTTTTAATAAAGCAATTTGTTCAGCATTCTGAATCATGGAGTCAGAGCACATTATCCCCTGGCCTGTCTCTACTATAAGAGGAAGATCTGTCTGAGTACAGCTGCAGGGCCCAGCAGCCCCATTGCCACCTCGCCCCAGCGCTCGGGCAGAGGCTGCCAAGGTCCCACAGTGGGGACAAAGCCACCCCAGAGCCTGGCTGGACTCACTCCACATCCGTAAACTGGAGCTGGATCCTGCGGGCCGTGTCCCACGGACGGATGATCCACACGCAGTAGGCGTTGTTGGGGTAGGAGTTGGGGTATCCTGGGCTCTCGAAGGTGCGAGACAATGCATACAGTATGCCACTACAGGGGACGTTCCCTGAGGAAAAGAGCAGAGCCCAGGCATGGGCAGAGAGATTTTATCCCGTTGCCAGAATCCATCAGAGAAGGGCATGGCCCCGCCAAGGAGGCTCTGCCACAGCCCCACAGAGACCCTCCCTGCCAGGCACCCCAAAACATCACCCCTGCATCCCCCTAGCCCAGCTCATACAGAAACCCAGGTCCATGGGGTTGGCTGTCCAGTGGGATGCCTGGGGAAGGAGAAAATCAGACCCCCCAACTCCTCTGGACCTCAATGTGGTCAGTGAGAGGGTAAGTTGAGCTGGAGGCACCCAGTGCTGCAGGGAGGAATCAGCAGGGTTCACTCACAGCATTTTTCCCAAGAGATGCAACCTGCTGGAAGTCAACCCAATGGTAAGCTAGGTGAAATAGGCTGTGGAAACAATCCCACATTGAGTTAGAACGTTTTGTCATAAAAACTTCCCAAGGCAGCATCTGAACCCCAAGAATTGGAAATCCTTAGTTCTTTAGCAATGGATTTTTGCTTTGCCTTCATAGCTAGTGCTTGGCGAAAAGGTGACCCTCCAAAGTACAATGTTACTCCCCATTATTTTGCATACAGAAACTTAAGTTTTTAGTGTAATTTTTCAAACAGTTAGGATGTGCTTTCTGAGGCTGACCAATATCCACGACAATTACCCAAGGGATATTGGTTCATTTGTAGAGACAGGGCTTGGCAAGGCATTCCATCACACCTCGAAGGTGGCCCTTGTAGCATTAAGATGCTCACTGTAATCGCATCCTCAGCTAAAGCAGTCATGAAAAAAAACCAAAGGAGAACAGGAGCTGTTCCTCATTATGAGGAGAACTGTCAGAGTGATTTCAAGCCTTAGAAAGCTGCAAGATGGGTTTCAGCAATTATATTTTTACCCCAACTGGCTTCAACACTGGCATTGAAACAATTAGATCTGGTTAGATGTTAGATGAGCAAACAAGCTAATGCCACATCCTCTGCAATTAGAGATATGTTAACCGATGTTGATAGTGTTAGACATGCTACCCTTCAAAATAGAGCAGCAATTGATTTTCTTTTACTGGCACAAGGGTATAGTTGTAAGGAATTTGAAAGATTGTGTTGTATGATCCTGTCAGATCATTCTGAATCCATTCACAAAAGCATACAAAACTGGAAAGATTTGACAGCCCAAATTAAAGAGGATAGTGGATCCTGGTTAGATGATCTGTTCCAAGAATAGAGCTTTACACCTTAGCTAAAGCAACTTTGCAAGACAGGTCTCTATATATTGGGTGTTTTGGTAATGATATTGACAGTAATCCCCTGCATACTTCAGTGGGTGTGACGAATGATGAACAAAACAGCTAGAGAAGTTTTTGTCCTACAAGAGAGAGAAGTAAGAAGTAAGAAGCACAGAGAATGTTCGAAATCTCACGGAAATGACAGATGAAAGAATAGAAATAGAAGAAAGATTTAAGACCCTAGAATCGACAAGAATTTTTTGAACGACTAGTAACTATTGTCAGACGTGATTCATATCTTTTTCACTGACTGAGCCTTCGCAGCATTAAGTTGCTGTGCTCTAACATAGCAATGCTTAGCGTCAGCAAGAACAGGCCTCAAGCAGATAGTAAGCAACAATACTATAGTAGAGCTCTGAAACGCAAGTAGCAAACAACACAGTTATGAAAGTTTCTTTTTAAGTCACCAGAGAGGGGGAATTGTGGGAATTCATGAAAATCAGAGGGTTTAGAAAAGTGGTAAAAAATACAGGCCTTATACAGCAGAGTTTTGAACAGAGCTAAGGCAGCAGAAATAAGATTTCTAAGCTGTAGCGCAGACATGAGAAATAGAACAGTAGGCCTATGTAATTTGGCTTTCTAAATTGCAAAAAGTATATTTAATTATATCTTTAGAAGGTTAAATATGAATGAAGCTCTGTGCTTTTGCTCTATGTGATTGGCTGAGACTGAGATTGAGACTGTCTTATAGTATGTTGTAACACTAAGTTTCTTTGGCTTTCTGCCAGATCAGAGAGCTGGCGCATCTTTCCTCTCCATTGTCACAACAATGAAATGAGATTGATGCTGGAAAAATAAAAGTTCAATACGCTAGTTCCAGTTGCCCCATCCTATTCGTGTCTGTATAGGAACTGCCGCTGCGCCAAATATGAGCATTTTAATCATACTAATTTCTTCCCAACAATAAATACTGTGACAAAAACATAAATCTATCACTATTACATAAAGTAACAATCTGATAAATTGTACTTACAAGTCGTGGGAGGGGTAGTTGTTGTGGGAGGTGTTGTTGTTACTACAGAAGACAAAGATAAGATAGCATATGTGAAGGTCAACTAAGCAAATTTAACATGAAACATCCTCAAACCCTGTTTCAGTCTCAAGCAATTTGCCGCCAATGAACTTTAAATCCAGGAGATTTCTGCCTATTTTAGTCAAGCTCAGCAGTGTTTTCTCCCATTAACCATCAACATTCTTTGTGAGGCCTCCAGAATCTGCAAGTGGCCCAGAGAATGCCTTGAGGTGGGACCAGTTTTCTCAGGTCCCCCAGTCCCCTGAGCTGGAAGAGAGGGACAGGGAGCAGAATGAATCCTCCATAATCCAGGGGGGAACCTATACACCACTTGGATATTCACAATCCTCTGGGGCTGGATGGGATCCACTCAAGGGCTCCCATCCTTCCTCAGCCTGGAGGAAAGAAGGCTCAGGGGGGACCCAATTGCTCCCCACAGCTACACTGGAAGGAGGTGGCAGCCAGCTGGGGTCAATCCTTTCTCCCCTATAACAGGACATAGCCTGAAGCCAGACTGGAGATAAGGAGAAATCTCCTCCTGGAAAGAACAGGCTGCCCAGGGCAGTGATGGAGTCACCATCCCTTGAGGGGATTTTAAAGGCATGTGAATGTGGCTGTACATGTAGACATGTAAATGTGTGGGGCTGCTGGGTTAATGGTTGAAATGATGATCTTAAAGGTGTTTTTCAGCTGGAACAATTCTTTGATTCTGTCTGCAGGTTTCACCTGATCTGATCAGGTGATGATGGCTCTGCTAGCAATGTGAGAATAGGCTGTGACAAACTGCCTCTTTCTGCAAACCAAGCAAACAAAACCTCCACAGAAATGTTGAGGACATAAAATATCTGGGGAGGTGGTCAGAACAAGGCCAATGACAAGGGAGGCTGCACATCTCATTATTTTCATTGGAACAGCCGCAGGTTGAAAGGGAGTCTCCAACAGCTCCCTGTCCCAGGTTCTGCTGACATTCCCACCACATCCAAGCTCCCTCTCATTCCCTTCCATCCCCAACACCACTGATTCCACCAACACCATGCTGCTGGTTTCACCAACTGGGACAAAGAAAGGTTTCCCTGCCAGGGCTGATGGAAAGCCTCCAGGTGGCACCAAGATGTAGTATATGGTAGAGGAATTTCATGCTTTTAATATATAAAATATTCTAAAATCCAAGCTATGTCTTTTGACAACCCCAGTTTGGAGCAGAGCCTTATTTTTATTCAATTAGTTCCCAGACAACATTAGGATACTATTGAATTGATCAACGCATAAATGGAACGTTCCTGAGGGATGATCACCGCCTTCCCTGGAATGCAGGAGTGATCTGCACCTCGAAGATTGCATCTACTACCCTGAATACCGGCGCCCCCCTGCTACCTGTGAATGCCGAATTCTCCTGAGTGCTCTGACCACATTTAGACACCTGGAACTGGACTTTGCTCTAACCCTGCACATGTACGGCCCCAGTTCTGCACGTGAAGGGACACAAAGGAGCATTCGTTTATCTGTGCCTCAGGCAGAATAAACTGTATAAAAGCTCATTGCACCAAGCAGCCGGTGTGAACCAAGGGGGAGACTCTGACATTTTTGGTGGTCAGATCCAGGTTCACCCACCGCCGATCCCAGGGTTGACGCTGCCCTTGGCTGGGGTGGTTGTTTTTTTATCCTGATTGAAACCCTGTTTCATAGACAATATGAAAAAGCATTGCTAAATTTTCTTATAAGTTTGGCTCCGGATTGGATCATTTATAACAAAGAGATCAGAGGTGTCCTGCAGGACAGGGCTCTGGCACACCCAGAAAGGTGACGGATCTCTTTCAAGCTGCTTTTGGATTGCGTGAATAATCTATCACTCTTATATAAAGTAACAATCTGATAAATTCTACTTACTAGTCGTGGACTCAGTAGTTGTTGTGGGAATTCCTGTAGTCACAAGAGATGAAAAAGAAAAGATTGCATATGTGAAGGTCAACAAGGCTGCAGTGCCAACAGCACCAGCGCTTGCCCAAGGTCATCCCCACTGCAGCACCATGAACACCAGTGCCAAACCTCTTCCACAGAAGAAGCGGCTGCTCAATCCCAAATGATCCCAAGCAATCCCATGTCTCCCTGAATGTTAGGGACATTAGCCAGGGTCTGTAAGTGCAGCCTACACAGAGCATCCCAGAGAAAGAAAACCCCATGGAAAACCCACATATGAACAGAAATCTCTGGTTACCTGTTGTTGGAGTCACTGTCATTCCTGAGTCTGGAAGAAGAAAATCAGAGGGTGTGAGGAACTAGAGCTGCTTGGCTTGCCCTACATGTATTTAATTTCATGGAAAGTTATGGAGGGACCCACAGGGAGGAAGGCCTGACTAAAAACCACCCCTCTCAGTTACTTGTGCGCCAGGGTAAGGGCAGGGACAGGTGAGAGGCAGGATCATAGAAAAGGCAAAGAAGGCTTTATTCAAAAGACCCATGTGTATTTCATAGAGTGGTACAAGAGGTTCTATTCTATTGGCTAACTAACAGAAACATCTTTCTCACTCACTGTCCTTGAGACGAACAGAAAAATAAAGTAGTAAAACAGCTCCTGCAAATTGTTTGTAGTCAACAGGTTATCACATCTTTCCAGCTCCCTAAAATTTCTCACAAGCTGATGTGAGAAACGCTTGCCGTTTCTCTCTCTCTGTCCCGTGGCATCCACCCCTGTCCTCACACCCTGCTCTGTGCAGGAGTGATGCCCAAACCCCACATTTCCCAGCTACAGTGTACAAACATGAGATTGATGCTCCCTCTGCATCAGGCACATGTATCCACAACCTGCTGCTGCCCTGGTGAGCATGGAGCAAGGGCTGGGCAATCTTCATCCCACCTCCATCCAGACTGATTTTCTTCAGGAAAATGGCACCAAAACACAGACACCCACCTGAGCAGATGACAGAAGCAGCTCCATGGTAACAGGCACCGTGCTGGTATTTGTAGGGGCAGTACCACAGGAGCTCCTCATTGCCCGTACAGTTCATCTCGGTGAACACATAGGAGTAGAAGCCGCTTGGAGGGAAGGGGTACATGAAGGCCTCAGGGAAGCCACAGCCCAGCTGCCTGCACACCACCTGGGCATCCTGCATGTCCCACAGGTAGCCACACACCTTCTCCCAGGCTCCAAAGTAGTAGATCTCCACATTGCCTGCACACCCGTTGGGGCCGCCGCTCAGCCTCAGGTCGATCTCTTGGAGAGACACAAACCCCTTGGTCAGCACAGTGGTGCTCTGGCTCCAGGGAATGACATCCCACAGCCTCCCTGGGCATGGCTGCATCCACCTGCAGCACAGCCCAGGGCTGGGACCCTGCTCAGCTCCCATGCTGTGGGATGGAGAGGTTGGGGCAGGCACATCGCATCCCTGTGCCCAGGGCAGGGACAAGAACCATGGCAGACAGACTCACCATCAACTATGATTGGAACTGTGGAGGAGAACAAGCAGAGAAAAAAGAAACACACAGAGAGCAAGAGAATTAGGACAAAATTCTTTGGGAGTTGTGAGCGTTTTCTATCCTTCCTCTAGTGAGTCAAGATCCCACTGAAGGGCACAAGTGACAGAAGACCTTTTTCATTCTATCAAGGAGGCTGGTTGCTGGAGAGCAAAGCCATCCCCAAATTCCTCCATCCCAGATAATTTACTTTTCATGTACATTCCCATCCCCACCCTAAAGAAAATGTGAGCTTCTTAATCATACTGATTTCTTCCCAACCATAAATACTGTGACAAAACCATAAATCTATAACTATGACATAAAGTAACAATCTGATAAATTGTACTTACAAGTCGTGGACTCAGTTGTTGTGGGAGGTCTTGTTGTCACTAGAGAAGAAAAAGATAAGATAGCATATGTGAAGGTCAACAAGGTTAATTGAACATGAATCTGCCTCAAACCCTGTTTTAGTCTTGAGCAATTTGCAGCCATCAAACTTGAGATGCAGGAGATTTCTGTCTATTTTAGTCAACCTCAGTAGTGTTTTCTCCATTAACCATCATCACTTTTGTGAGCCCACCAGAACCTGCAAGTGGCCCAGAGAGTGCTTTGAAGTGGGACCAGTTTTCTCAGGTCCCCCAGCTCGCTGAGCTGGAAGAGAGGGACAGGGAGCAGAATGAATCCCCCATAATCCAGGGGGAAACCTGAATACAAAAGCAGGTTCAACAAGAATCTCTTGGTTCTTGATGGCTCTGCTACCGATATGAGAATAGGCTGTGACAAACTGCCTCTTTCTCCAAATCAAGCAACCAAAACCTCAACATAAATGAAGAGGACATAAAATATCTGGGGAGGTGGTCAGAACAAGGCCAGTGACAAGGGAGGCTGCTCATCTCATTATTTTCATCAGGCACAGCTGCAGGTTGAAAGGGAGTCTCCAAAAGCTCCCTGTCCCAGGTTCTGCTGACATTCCCACCACCTCCAAGCTCCCTCTCATTCCCTTCCACCCCAACATCACTGATTCCACTAACACCATGCTGCTGGTTTCAGCAACTGGGACAAAGAAAGGTTTCCCTGCCAGGGCTGATGGAAAGCCTCCAGGTGGCCCCAAGAGATCAGAGGTGTCCCTCAGGACAGGGCTCTGGCACGCCCAGAAATATGATGGATCTCTGTCCCACTGCTTTTGGATTGGGTCACAAATCTATCACTATTATATAAAGTAACAGTCTGATAAATTCTACTTACTTGTCGTGGTCTCAGTAGTTGTTGTGGGACCTCCTGTTGTCACGAGACAAGAGAAAGATAAGATGGCATATGTGAAGGTCAAAAAGGCAAATTTGACAAGAAATTTCCTCAAAGTCTGTTTCATTCTCGAGCAATTTGCAGGCAACAAACTTGAGATGCAGGAGATTTCTGTCTATTTTAGTCAATCTCAGTAGTGTTTTCTCCCATTAGCCATCAACACACTTTGTGCGCCCACCAGAACCTGCAAGTGGCCCAGAGAGTGCCTTGAGGTGGGACCAGTTTTCTCAGGTCGCCGGCCCCCTGAGCTGGAAGAGAGGGACAGGGAGCAGAATGAATCCTCCATAATCCAGGGGGAAACCTGTAACCACTTGGATATTCACAAATCTATGGGGATCCACTCAAAGGAGCTGGGTTGGGTCAAAGCAGGTTTTCCCTGCCAGGGCTGATGGAAAGTTTCCAGGTGGCACCAAGAGATCAGAGGTGTCCTGCAGGACAGGGCTCTGGCACGCCCAGAAATGTGATGGATCACTGTCCCACTGCTTTTGGCTGGGGTCACAAATCTATCACTGTTATATAAAGTAATAATCTGATAAATTCTACTTACCAGTCATGGACTCAGTAGTTGTTATTTGACGTCTTATTGTCACTAACGAAAAAAAGATAAGATGGCATATGTTAAGTTCAACAAAGCAAATTTAACATGAAATTTCCTCAAACCCTGTTTCCGTCTTGAGTACTTTGCAGCCAACAAACTTGAGATCCAGGAGATTTATGTTGATTTTAGTCAATCTCCACAGTGTTTTCTCCCATTAAGAATCAACACTCTTTCTGAGCCCACCAGAACCTGCAAGTGGCCCAGAGGGTGCCTTGAAGTGGGACCAGGTTTCTCAGTCACCCAGTCCTTGAGCTGGAAGAGAGGGACAGGGAGCAGAATGAATCCCCCATAAACCAGGGTTAAACCTGTAACCACCTGGCTATTCACAGATCTGTGGGGCTGGATGGCTTTTAACACCTTAAAGAGGAAGGGGTGGAAATACAGCAGCTGTGGCAGCACTTTTTGATGTTTTTTGCATCCCTGCATAGAGGACACAGCAGCAGATGCTGAAAAAGTAATGTTTTGTCTCTGCCAGCACCCTGCTCATTCAGGGAGGTCTCACCTGGAAAGGGGGAAAGTGATTTTGGAATAGAAAAAGCCTATTTCACCCTGTTTGAAATATCCTCCCTCCCATCAGACCCACCAATATTTGTATTGGTCGCTAAAGGGGTGGAAGTGGCTGGGCTGATCATTGACTCTGCAACCAAATTAAATTACACTCCTAACAGGAATTAGTCTCTGGGAAATTAGACTAACAAAAATTACCATTATAATTTCCATTATAATCTAATCAAATACAAACCACATGGTTTGTAAACCTCACCCCCTTTAAAATAGACATGTATATATAGTCCAGAAAATACTTTTTAGTCTTTAAAGCCATTATCCCAATATAAATCATAGGAAAATGTTATAATTGGCTTTGCAGTATATTCATTTTAATTTCCTTTACTAGGTTCTTTACAAAAAATGATGGGAAAAAAATGGAATTCATTAAGCAGTTTTGATGACATTGATTTGCTCAGCTCATAGGTTTGCTCTGCTCATGGGTTTCAAGAGAGCTGAGCCATGCTGGTAAATCCTCTTTTACCATTAAATCCCAATGTTAGCCCAAGGTGAAATAAAGCTACAAAGGTGATTGGAAGTCTTTACCTGCATCCACCTGAGTGTGAAGAATTACCATCAGCACCCAGGGCAGCATCCTGGTGGCAGCCATCTCGTTGGAGCTGCTGGAGCAGGAGGACACCACAATTTATAGGCAGAATCCCCAGAGGGTGCAGCTCAGCAGCCCAGCCTCTCCTTTCTGTAGCTCAATATCACATTCCCCTCTGCTCTCACTTCCCTGGCTTCCATCGCCACATGTTTGATTTGTAAACCAATATTTACAGGTTCCTGGTTCCACAGCAGGACAACACCTGGCATCTGATGCAGGGAAAGCAGAGATCAAAAGCGGCCGCAGTAGCTGCTGTTTTTCCAGCCCATCCCTCCTTGGCTGTGTGTTCTCTTGCTGTCACTTATGTAACCTGTCCCTTTACTTGAGCTGTAACTGACCCAAAGCTGCTTTTTAGGCTGTTGCAAAATGTGCTTTTCTTTTTGTGACTGAACACAAAAAGTGGAAGGGTGGGACTACAGTGGGAAACAACCCTTTGCACCCTGTCCTGGAAGATGTCACCAAAAAATGCAGTAAAAGTGAGCGCAATCTTCTTTTTCTGTTCATCCCTCAGTGTGCTCTATCCTCACCAGGGCAGCAAGAGTCAGGATTGTTTAAGCTCTGCAAGTTCATCAAAAGTAATTTTTTGACTTTTGACACAAACCCAAGCCAAACTTCAGTGGTCATACACTGATCATTGTTAAACTGCACAAAACCTTCCCAGAGAGCAAGGGCTCTAAGTCTGGGGATGGGGGCAAATGTAGAAAACAAGTGATAATTCATCCCAAATTCTCTATTTCTGAAGCTCTTAAGAGCTTGGCAGAGCTCTTTACACAGTTGTCCCCCCAAGATTTACGAAAGATTTAAGGTAATAGAAAAGTAAGGGCACCCAATGGAACTTAAAATGGATTTTTACAAAGATAAAGTACCTCAGGTCATGACGAAGTTTCAGTGGATCCGAGTGCTTATCAAGGAACCCACATTTGCACAGCAAATTTGGCAATATTTGAACACTATTAAAACCTGAGAATCACAGAGCTACTTAGCCTGGAAGAGCCCCTGGTCCAAGACTCAATTCAAAGCAAGGTTATATTTAAAGTTCAATCAATCTTTAAAAAGTCTCAGGGTCTTTGTAGCTCAGAATTCTGCATTTTCTTTCCTAGAGAGAATGTGCAGAAACTTCTAGGAGATAAGAATTTGACATCCTGGTTGTTCCTGCTGTTAGTTTTGGATTTATTACTGATTGGCAAACAAATTACTTCTCAGAAACTCAGGAACAGGTTTCTTGTGCCTCCTGAACCATGCAATGCAACTGTCCTGGACAGGAAATGACCAAAGTCAACCTCACACAGCACAGGAGAGCCCAAGGAAGATCAAAAGGAGAAAGGAGGCACAAACTCCATGGTGAGGATGGGGGGAGAAATGAAAGGATTAGTTTGTTAGACATGCAAACAGTTTGTTGGCTCTCTAAACACAGGGATTCTTTTATTCTCATGGCTTGGCTAGGCAGGTGGAGGACGTGGTCTTTGGAGGGACTGGAGGAGGTTGTGGCTTGGTAAACACAGTGGGGCAGCTGCTGCAGACCTGGAGAGATAAAAGAAGAATACAACCAGAGTAAAACCATTCAAAAATCAATGAAAATTGTACTATTTGAACACAAAAAGAGACCATGTGAGACAACCCCACACTCAGGGTGACTGGTGCACACAGATCCCAGTGGCAATCACCACTGCATGGCCATCCCACCCCAGGAGTGGCATTCTCTATGTGAGCCATCACAGTTCCTCAGACAAAAAGGAATTGTGGTGAGTTGCCTTTGCTTGGCTGCAAGACACCCAGCCAGCCCCACTCTCATTCCTCCTGCTCAACAGGGCAGAAGAAAATAGGGTAAAGAAGTTCATGGGTTGAGATAAAGAACGGGGAAATCACTCATATATCACATGGAAAACAGATTCAGCTTATAGAAAAATAACTTGATTGCCAATTAAAATAGACTTGTATAGTGAGAAACACATATAACTTGAACAACACCTTCCCCACTCCCTCTTCTGCCAGGCTCAAGGTCATCTCTTCACTCCACTGCTGTTCTTTCCCCCTCTCTGAGTGGCACAGGGGGCTGTGGTCAGTCCCTGGCAGTTTGTCACTGCTGCTCTGCCCTCCTCGTCCTTTTCTCGTGCTCATTTGTAGGCACTTCCCCTGTGCTACAGTCCTGCAGCATAAACCAACAGCTCATCCTTCAGGATAATCCAGCATCAGCTCTCCATGGCCACAGCTCCTTCAGGAAATGTCCTTTTGATCCAGCGCAGGGGCCTCTGTGGATTGTGGGGATATCTCAGCTCTGGCACAAGGAGAACCTCCTCCATCTCCTCTAACTTTGGTGTTCACAGGGGCTGTTCCTCATGCTTTCCACCCCAAATCCTCATTTCCTGCATGGCATTTCATGCTTTCTTTGATACAGTTTAATAATTAAATACAACTCAGCCATGCCCTGAGGTGGGACAGTTGCAGAGCTGGCTGGAACACACCAAAGCACCAGAGCTGCTGGGTCAGTAGTCAAGACACCAGCTGGCACCTGTTGAACCACCCCCTCCATTTAATTTCATCTGCTTCATTTGCAGTGATCACTAAAAAAAATTCACAGAATTCACAGAATGTACAGAATTCACAGAATGACCAGATTGGAAGAAACCTTCGAGATCATTGAGTCCCACCCAGCCCCAACACCCCAACTCAACCCTGGCCCCCAGTGTCACATCCAGGCTTTGTTAAACACACCCAGGGATGGGGCTGCACCACCTCCCTGGGCAGCCATTCCAGAACTTTATCACCTTTCTGTGAGCAAAAGAGCCAGCAGCAAAATGGTGCTCTGCTACTGACCTGGTTTTTGCACCAAATGACCTTTCTTCCCACCAGCTGGGATGGCTGATGGAGTGGGGGATTTTCTTGACTCTTGGCTTACTTAACCAGAGCTGGAACTTGATGGGAATGTGTGGAAATATTAGTTTCAGTTTGGATCCATGTTTTCTTTAAAAGTCAACTATGCAATGAGATGCTTGTCCTTTGGATAGGAGAAAGGATGGAAATTGTTCACACTTTTAAATTAATTGTTATAAGCAGTCAGCTCCCACTAACTCCTTCAAATTCAATTGTTACCATAACTTCTATTCTAGCATCAGTGTTGCTTCTCCCCTACAATGGGGCATGGCAAGGGCCAGAAAGCAGGTACCAACCACTCATCCCAAGCTGAAACAGCCTCCCTGGCACACAGTTCCCTGCTCCCTGCCCACTCTCCCCATCTGTTAACTTGCCTTGCACCTCTGTGCAAAGCTTTGTTTGCACAAGTGACACCAAAGCAAATTGTGAGGCAGGAATGGTTTCATTGCATCAGGAAATCAAGATTTACGATTGAGCTATGTTTGCTTGGGATGGGGAAGATGAAATGATTTAATCTGGCACTGGACGCAGCCTTGCTGCCTGGCCGTGGGAACACCATTCCCCTCCTGATAGACCTCCTGTCATCCCTCATGATACTCAGGATCTCTTGTTGGGAAGGATGAAAGTTGGACAAGAAAGTCTCACAGATATGTGTGCTTAGCAGAAAGATTTTTAAATGTGGAATCTGACGAAGGAATAGAGATGGAAGCAAGTTTTGATATAGAAGAAAAGAATTGCAGAGCCAGTCTTACTGGATAACCAAGGAGGCAAAGGGTGTGTCAGTTAGAAGGGGTTTTATGGCTTAGAGCAAAGGATAAACCCACCCCAAACAAGAAGATGTTTTTACCAAGCAGAAAGATTTCACAGGAAAACAAGTCAGCAAAGTTGCAAGTAGAAAAAAAGGTCCCAGAATTTTCCACTGCAAGAAAACTTAATAACAACTTCTAGCTGAAACTGTAATGTACTAACTTTTAGTGATTGGAGAACAGTAACATGAATATGGTAATTATAGCAGTTATGGTAGGCTATAGATAAAAGTTGAGGTATAGATTGCTTCTACTGTGTTAAGATGCTCAGCAAAGAAAAGTCTATAATGCATTGTAACCAAAACCAAAGGGTCTGCAGGCCTGCCTGCAGCTGGAGCTGACAGCTGTGGGCACAGCTCTGTCACCCATGACCCTGGACTGCTGTAACCTCTTGGATGGAATAAACTGCATTTTGGAGAGCTGCCTGGAGTCCCACATCCCTCAATTCAGCTCTTACAATCTATGACATTCCAGAGCAATAACCATGCTCCAGCCAGGAGTAGAGTTGAAAAATAGGGAGAAAAAAAGCACAAATCCAGGCTGAATTCAGCAAAGAATTGCATTTGACCAAAATACTAAAGTGTCTAAAATTTCTGTTCTGGAACAGTCATAAAAAGATGTTTCAAGTAAAGTCATAGAAAATTGAACCCATCTATTATTTAAAGCTTGAAGAGCCTGAGACACAGTTCCTTTGAGCCAGTGAAATATTGCAGCTGAAACACTTATTAGGCAACCAGCTCTGCTATTTTTGAGTTGCTCTTCCATGTTTGGAAGAGATGTTGAAGAAATTGGGATTATTTGGGAAAAGCACTAGGCAGATGAAAGGACACTTGTGCCTTGCCTCATTTTGTGCTGCTGTTGGTTGCACCTCATCTTCTTCCAGCACTCCTCCCTCTCCCAGACCTCCAGTGGCTCTAACCCACCCCAGTTAATGAGCACCAACTTCTTGGAACGCAACAAAATTTGTTTACCAAATATGAGATAAGGGAAATCTTTGACCTTACAGTAAAGGGACATGGTGCAGAACAGGAACCCTTGGATCCCTGTTTGCCTTCTGGTAGCAGACCCCAATATTTTACACACCATATCAGAACACAACGTATTCCTCTGCGTGAACATAAAGTCACCACTCCTTAAAACAACACACTCAGGTCTGCAGCTGTTAAAATCAATAAAGGGTCAACAGCAATGAAAAATATAATTTTTGAGAATTTCCTTGTCATCAGGATGTCTTAATACCCAAGATCTACATAAACAGCTACTGCAACAGAGACAATAATGAGACCTAGAGCAGGGACTAGGACTGAAGTTTCCACACTTCCAAAC